AACAGGTTGCACCCGCAATGTTTATGCTTGTGAATTTCCAAGGATTCTAAATAATTGAGTTTGCAACCCTTCCTTGCATAGTGCAGAATTTCCGTATCGTTTAGATTCGGAAACTTGTGGTTGCATGCCAAGGAATGGTTTGAAAACGTCGAATCATTTTTTCCCAGTCTGAAGGACCTTTCATGTTCAGCATACCGTTTTTGGAAATTTCGTCCGCATTGTCCCACATAAACACTATTACACTCCGGACACTTGAGCTTATAAACTCCAGATTTTTCCAACTTGTCGACCTTATCTTTGGCATTGAAAAGGAAATTAGATAACCTGGCATGTGGTCTGAATGCATTTCCTTCTCAATGCAAAAGATGAGGTCGACAAGTTGGAAAAATCTGGGGTTTATAAGCTTAAGTGTCCGGAGTGTAATAGTGTTTATGTGGGACAATGTGGCCGAAATTTCCAAAAAAATTATTCGATGTTTTCAAACCATTCCTTGGCATGCAACCACAAGTTTCCGAATTGAAACAATACGGAAATTCTGCATTATGCAAGGAAGGGTTGCAAACTCAATTATTTAGAATCCTTGGAAATTCACAAGCATAATTTTCATTATTATTTCCTACCAAGTAGTAACGGCTACATCCATAGTTGTTAGTTGTGAATGTAAATAATAGTTGTAAATGCAACAAAGTATAAAAGTTGTAACTCTAGCGCACATCCACGCACGACAATACTTAAATGAAAAACTGATTTAAACCATCTCAGTGATATTTATTAATTTTTCCTTGTAATAGATAAATATTTTCACAATTTTCATGAATCTTCAATAACTGAAGATATCTAATGAATTAATTCTTTTACTGACGATGCCCAATAGGCTGAAACAGCTGTCTACCGGTGGCTCTTAAATTGAAATCAATATGAGAATGATCAGAGAGTACTTTTCCACGGTCAGCAATTTGGTGTACCGTATCCGGGTACTTCTGCTTTGAAGCCATTTTCAAGAACCACTTGATACTGAAGTTACATGGCTCCACGACGGAATCGACTGGCTTTGTTCAGTTCCAAGTAAACACTGATAACCTTGACAGTTGGGAAGTTTTTCAATCTCAATGGCTTCACGAATTATCCTAAAGAGTTTTCTTCGTAGCAATGGTGTTGGTGTTTTCGAAGCTTATTGTGTGGCTTGTTTGAAGAGGGATAAGGCTGGATCTGATTGGCAACAGCTAGTTCGTGTTCATAGGCTCTGGTGTAAATTCTTCTATTGGTCTGGCCGATGTAAGTTCTGGGGCAGGATGAACATGGTATTTCATGTATACTCTGTGCGTCATTGCGCATCATGTCCTTGGGTGTTCGTAAAAGAGTGGAGATTTGATTGTTGGCTGTGAATACTGTTCTTACGTTATGCCTCTTCAGCGTTCAGCATATTTTGTCGGTGACTCCATGGATGTAAGGGAGAAACCTCTTTTGGCTGGTCAGTCTTTTCATCGGATAGTTCGAGGTGTGGGTTTGCTGTCGATCATTGGATTTGAATGTTCGGCTGGTGGTTGGAGAAAATTTGCAAGATACTTGGCAAGGGCGTGTGTTGGTGATCCAAATTCGCTAACGATGGGACGAAACCCTCTTCGTTCCACCTCGTTTGTATGGTCTTCCTAAAATACACAAACCAAAACATCGCTATGTCTGGTTTGTGTATTTTTATTTCTGGAAAATCATTTCTTCCTTTCAGTGGGAACGTTGGAATTGTTGATGAGTGCTTTGGTCTTTTTTTCAAAGTATGTGGCTGGGTCTCTGGAGTTTAGTTGGTATTCTGGAGAGTCGAGTAATGTAGTCTTCTTGTCGATGTAGTCTGTAGTATTGAATACCACCGTGACATAACCTTTGTCTGCCGGAAGGACAACTATATTTGGGTTATTGTTTAGGTTTTTGAGGGATAGTCTCCCTGCTGGGGTAATATTGGGTTTCGAAGATTTTGCTCTTTTCAGTGTGTTGGCGATGTCTTGCCGTGTTTCTTCAGTTAGGGTTTCAGGAAAATTTATTTATTTGTTCATTAACGGGAAACACCCAATTAAGTTTAAGAGATTTCACAATAAATACAACAAATAATTACATCTAACTTACTTGCTAAAAGTAAAACTAATTTATTGATAAAAAAAAATAACAGTGAGAAAATAAATTTACCGAATTGAAATATTAATTAAATAAATGAATGATTAACATAAGAAAAATTCAATAATTGAGGATGTTTATGTCTATATTTACTACCATTTATAATTTATTTCTGAGCGAGCGTAATGCAAACTTAAATGTTGTTTCGTTCAATGAAAAGAAGTCCACATCGACTTTATTACCACCAATAGCAACTCTAGACAGGGGAGAGTGTTTACCGTAGTTACAACGATGAAAATCTATTGCAAATGTTTCTGTATTCCTTGTACTTCTAGAAGGAACATGTAAGCCAATTTGTGCTAGCAATGCAGGGCAGTTATTAAGAGATTTTATTAATTGGAATACGAGTTTAAAGTCAGTTTCCACTCTATGACTACTTAGCTTCATTATATCTGCAACCCTACGAATATCATCTGATGAATGGCCCTTCAAGGGCATTTTTAACTTGAACGCCAAAAATTTAAGAAATTTGTTTTGTACCCGTTCAATGTTAAGTGCAGGACTTTCATAGGTGGGTGACCATATGGAACTGCAATAATCTGAAATATTTATAATGTAGGTGAAAGTCCAGTTTTTTATCCATCAGTACTCCTAAATGGGTTACAAATTCGATACAAGTTGATATGTAGTAATCATAGTTTACAGGTGTAAGTACTCAATAGTACGTCATACATTTACATTTATTCACGTTGAGATTCATATCATTTTGTGAACACCATTCACTAAATCTGTTTAAATCTGTCTGTAATACTAGGCAATCATCTGGTGTTTGAATTGTCTTGAACATTTTAAACTCATCTGCAAAAAGTAAGATGTCAGTATATTTTAAGTTAACTCTGATATTATTAATAAAAATGTTGAAAAGAAACGGCCCTAGATGGCTTCCTTGTGGTACACCTGATAAAACATTAATTTCGTGATATATGTATTCCTTGACTTTTACATATTGACATCTGTTACTAATATAGCTTATCAGCCATTCCAATAGTTTTCCACAAAATCCAATTGCTTTCAATTTCTCACATAAAATTGAATGGTTCACTGTGTCAAATGCTTTGGAAAAGTCAGTATAAATGACATCTACTTGATGTTTCTCCTCCAAAGCATCAATACTGTGAAAATAACAGTAAGTTGGAAGTTGTTGATCTGCCTCTGGTAAAGCCATGCTGTTCATCTATAAGAACTTGATTAACTGAATCAGTGCTATACCCAAGTGCTTGAGTCCACATACTGTGGACTCAAGCACTTTGGGTATAGCACTGATAATACTTATTGGGCGATAATTCTGTATATTAGCTTTATCCACACCACATACTGTGGACTCAAGCACTTTGGGTATAGCACTGATAATACTTATTGGGCGATAATTCTGTATATTAGCTTTATCCCCAGATTTATGAATAGGTGTAATGAAGCTTGATTTCCAGTATAGAGGAAATATACCTAATTTCAGAGAAGAAGAGAAAAGCACTAATAATGGTTTTGCAAGTGTAAATCGCAGTTTTTCAATAAAATATTTGGTATTCCATCCGGACCAGGACCTTTAATAATGTGTAATTCCCCTAGCTCGGTTAGAATCGTTCCCAGACAGTGCAGTTACTTATGTGGAGGGTATTATCGTAATTAATTTCTGGTATATTAGTCAGCTCATTAGGTTCATAAATAGATTGAAATTCTATAGCAAAATTATTTACAATATCATTACAATTTTCAAAATACTGATCACCTAAATACATATTTTCGGGCAGACCAGGATTAAACTGATTATGACAATCTGTAAGTCAAATGATATGAAATTAAGACTAAATCAATTCTAGGAATTCTTGAATTGAGCAAGGGCACAGAAATACCAAGTCTTTTTTTAATTTGTCTTTTAAATGTATAAATTGGCAGAATTCTTAGATTGTATGGGAGAAAATTGTACAGGTACAACCCAAAAGTAACACACGTCAATTAGAATGTCGAGAATTCATTTCCGGCAGGTCTTTGTTCTATACCTGTCCAGGAACATTAATGCTGAGTTCGAACAGCAAGGTCATCAGTGTTAACTTGGAAGTGAACAAAGCCAGTGACGATACTTGGGGGTCAGGTAAACTACGATCCTGTTGTGGAGCCATGTAACTTCAGTTTCAAGTGGTTCATGAAAATGGCTTCAAAGCAGGAGTCGAAACGTCCGAAACATTGATATAAACTTGGGTTGGTGAGGTGGAGATCCCGTATAATGTTCTGGATGGTTTTTCAAATAAGGGCGAACCTGGATCGATCAATAATTCGTCTAATATACAAGTATTTATTATAATAATTTATCTTCAAAAACACCAAAACCATATATACCTTACCCCTTGCCTCTCACGTGAACCTATGACAGAAAAGCAACAACTAACCCAGCTATTGACGCGCAGAAATCTGAAGTAAAACCATCAGGAAGCTATGCATCATCTTCCATTTGGAAGATTTGTCGCAAACAACTTCCTATATATGAAAGGCAGAAATTGATTTCGTTTGGTCGGGACGACCACCGATAGACCGGTTTCGGTGTACTTGCCCCTCGTCAGTACTGGGAAGGTCATTTCAAATGAAATTAATTTCTGATTCTCATATATAGGAAGTTACTTGCGATGAATCTTCCAAATGGAAGACGTTGCACAGGTGCCTGATGGTTTTACTTCAGCTTTCTGTGCGATATTAGTTGGGTTAGTTGTTGTTTTTCCGTATCTGCCACAAGAGGCAAGCGCGCGATTCATTAACCAAGTTAGTAGGAGATGATATCCCCTGACGATGCTAACATGGTTGGCGCGACGAGAAAATATTTTTGTTCTGGTATGGGAAAATTGTTTTCCATAAATTCATTTCATGCCACAGGTTCCAATTCTATCCATCAAGTCCAATAACATGTTTAGTCATAATACAAAAATCTAAACCCCACTATGAATATATTACAATAACAAATAAAATAGTAGGTTGGGCCCTTTCAGATTGTGAGATGCAAAATCTTCACAAATCAGTAGTAACGGTGACATTTGCCATATACCTGATAAAAAAATAATTGTTCATATGCGCAAAATAAAACTATAACTTTGTGGTTTCAATTATCCCTACGAGCTTTCTTCTTACTTGTTTTCTTTGTTATCCTAGTTTCTGTCCAGACATCTGCAAAATAAAACAAACACATTTTTATGTTGATACTATTCATTTCTTAGACTATTTCCCAGCATACCTCCTGAAGATACTATTACTTTAGTAATAGAATTATTAGATAAAGATAGAGTGAACCCAGTCATAAAATGAGAAATCATTGACCTTCTGTCTCAAACAAAATTATTTTCAATTTAACAACAATATTTATTCCTCCTCAAAAGATTTAATTATGGGAAATCCATTAAGCCCTTTACTTGCAGAAATTTTCATGGATATTCTAGAAAAGTCGATCTTTAAACATTCTTTGATTAAGAATTTCTTGTATTGGCGTAGATATGTGGATGACGTTTTGGTATGTTTTACAGGTACTAAGAAACAATTAGATACTTTTCATAGGGATATTAACAAAATTCATGAAAACATTGAATTCACTATTGAAGTAGAAGCAGACAACTCAATCAATTTCTTGGACTTAACAATTAGTAGAATGAACAACAAGCATGATTTTTCAATTTATCACAAACTGTCCTATACGGATATTAATACTATGCACTACGATTCTACCCATTCTTATCAACACAAAGTAGCAGCTTATAATAGAATGATTCATAGATTAGTCAATGTTCCTCTTTCAATAGATAATTTTATCAAGCAAATTGCGGTTAACAATGGGTTTAAGGCCGAATTAATAAACAAAATACTTGCCAAGAAGGTTTATGCAAAAGCGATTTGAGACGTTTTTTCTATTGATGAGGTAGATAATCAAAATTATAGAGCTTTGACGTATTTTGGACAACCAACGGAAAAAGTGGCTTCATTTTTGAGGAAACGAGATATTGAAATTGCATATAGAACAAGTAATACTTTGGGAAAGTTAGTTAAACATAATAAAGACAAAACATCCAAGAAATCAGGAGTATATAAATTAAACTGTGGAACGTGTCCTGAGGTATATATTGGTCAAACAAGCAGAACATTGAGGAATCAAATCCAGGAACACTATACGAGCTACGTAAATAAAAAAACAAATTCAACATAATCAAATAATCTAGAAGAAAATCATATCTTTCAAGAAGAGTTCGCACATAGAAAATAAATATTTGAAACTGAATCATTTGGAAGCAATGGAAATTAATAAACCTAAAAATTTAAACATTCTAATGAATGACCAAGTGGATTTGAATAGATCACCATAATGGGGAATGTTCCTCAATTTGGGTTATTACAGCAAATGCAAGTTTGAACAAAATAAAGTTGAGTTTAATTCATGAGTTTTTCAAATTCACTTCGAAAAGTATTCAAATTGATTTTTCAAATGTTGGGTTTTAATTGAAGTAGTCTCAATTACAGTTACCTGTAGTATATAAATATTAGTGTAAGAAACAACTAGAAGTATTCAAAATACTTGATGAAGCTACTGTGCTAGGAAAACATGTGATATATTTTTCAAAAAAAGTTTGTGGAGATCAAATCGTGAGGTGTAGTTTTTGAAATTACTACAGATCTTCATCAAGTAACGGCCGAATCAATCAGAAAAAAAAACATTTCTTAGACTGTAATGTTCGAGTGTGTACCAGTGCTGCCGTTAAGGTACTATTGTACCGTATTCGGAACTATTCCATGATTTTGATACGAAGATACTATCCGGATCAATATGTAGACTATTCAGTACTATTTACTATAATCCCAATTTTTTACATTTTCACGTTGACTCCCATCGAGTACAGTAAAAAATAACAACAATATGTGTGGCAACAATGCAATTCCGTGTTTCAAGTTCCAGATCAGCAAATACCGTACTTGTGTCAAAATTGCGAGCTATCATCATAACTCTGCATTATTTAATCCTGTGTTCTGTATTGTGCCTGTGAACTGTGGTTCTGTCATCTGTCAGTCAGTCAGCAGAACAGCAGTTTCAACTTCTAACCTCACACCTCACCTTGAGAAATTGGTTTTATTGTTTTGTCAAAATAAATAGGAATATGGACAGGTAAAAATAAATTCTCGAATCTAGCTACTTGAAAACGTCTTTAGTATTGTTCATTCTATTGTGACAGAAACCTAATTAAAACAAAACACATTTGCAATCGTGAAAGAGCAATTTGAAGAAGGAAAAAGACACCTTTTTATCAAATGTTCTGATTATGATCTTTCTCTTAAGGAA